ATGAAGAATATGTGAAATTTCTCTTTTAAATATGTCCCATATGCCACTTTAAGTTTTGACCACCTCCTACTCCACTTGGTTAGCTTTCATAAATCCAAATGTAGAGAGTATTTATTGGATTATTGTAGTGACACTGATAGAAATAGGCTGTAGGCCTAAGCCCTTCATGTCATGGGAATGAGATGACTGCTGTATAATTAGATTTGTTACTGAAAAATGTAAACATTTATTCTTCATCGGAGCTACATCACTGAAGCACACTTTACGTTCTAGAAGGTGTTTGGAAGCACTATACATGCAGAAACGCTCTTTATGTATATTAGCAGATTAATTCGGACTATAGTTATTTTCAGCCAAGATTAGCCCGTACAGCTTTGAAAGTTCTCTATTTGAACAGTGATTTTTCGTTAACAACTTAGCTTTTCATTTTTAAGGTTTTACTTTTCTATCAGCCCATAACCTCAAGTCCTCTTAAATTAGTACCCTCATAATTATCTCTGTTGCTATCAATTATAGCACTTGAAAATGAACCACATCTGAGGAAAGGTTTGTGTTTAGTTCAAACAACTTTTTTTTGCTGCATTGAAAATAAGTACATGTGCTAAAGTGTCATATGCGTTCTGAAGCTTTTAAAGAAGTTTCCTTCCCTTCAACATACTTTTAGATATTATTGTTATTAGTGTTTGCTGTGTATTAGAAGAAAAGAAGTAAATTGAGGTTAAAAACCTTGAAAAGGGCCAGGATTTAGCTCAGTGGTTCCAGCGCCTGCCTCGCAAGTGCAAGGACCTGAGTTCGATCCCTGTTACCAAAAAAAAAAAAACCCTTGAAAAAAGCTACCCTAATATATTTTTCACTCCCACAGTGAAGGATTTCTTTTAAAGCATATATGTATGTAAATTATAAATGAAAAGCCACGGAAAATACTAAATACAACGATCGGTTTTTAAAAGTATGGTGAAAATGGAATAAGACATCATTATCGTCCTCCATGAAAAATGAGTTTTTAAAATACAGTTTTAATTCACAGTCAGATGGCTTTGTGCTTTGGGGTGAAAGATGCATTTTGTGCTTTTTCGAAGAAGTTTCTTTATGTGGAGTCCAGGCGGTGATAACTGTGTGGTGAGTTAGTATGGCTGCCTCATCCCGGGTGAGGCAGGGGGTTGGCAAGAAATTCTCCTGCATGCAGTTCCTGTCTCTTGTAAGGAATGAATTCATTTACTTAACCAAAATACACTGAGCCCTCGCTAATTTGCAAACATTCATAATGTACTCTTCCAGTATTCTCAGGATAGAAACAGAGTATTGGCTTTGTAACAGCAGCACTGAACCTGTTCCTTTTCAGCTAAGACCTCTGGTCATGCCAGGCGGGTGAGTTTGTCCCTGAATGACTTTGTCACTTCCCCTTTATTTAACTTATCCATTCCACAGGCAAGACACACTTACATGGCGATTCATTTTATTAAATAATAATCCCACCTATGTGGCCGACACTGAGTGTGCTACTTAATGTGGTATTCCCTAGTGACGTGTAGCTGTTTAAATTTTATTGTAATTTATTTATTTATTTATTTTTGGTACTGGCGATCGAACTCAGGTCCTTGCATTTGCGCAGCAGGTGGCGAAACCACTGAGCTAAATCCCTGGCCCTGTTTAAATTTTAGTTAATTAAACTGAAGTAAAGAAAAATTAAAACATTTAAATTAAATTTAAGACAGTTGTTCATTTTCCCTAGCCTGTATCAAATGCTCAGTAGCCACGTGTGGCTCATGGCTATCATATTGGATCGAGAAGACTATAGAGCATTTTTATCATCTTGGAAAGTTCTCCTGGACAACACACCTAGACTTCTCACTCTATCCTCACAGTGATCCCACAAAATGGCTTGAACTACACGGAATACAGTACTACTTATATCTATAGAGATGAGACAGGTTCCAGGAGGTTAAAAAAAATGTGTCCTTTCATAGAATTTGATATAGAGAGCTTTCTCTGGGAGCAGGCAGTTGCAAGTTAAGGTAAATACAAATGAATGGAGGAGTTTTATCTACAGTTTTTGATCTTAAAATATGAGTAACTTGAAGGGGAAGACGTGGTCTAGCTTGTTCATTTTGTATCCCTGGTGACCATTACAGAGCCTGACACAAGCTAAATACTCAGGAACTGTGAGGCGCATGAATGAATACATGTCATTTTTTGTCTAAGCAGAATTTAAAATTTAATATGATTTAAAAACCATGGATATCTAATCCTGGTAATAATTTTTACTAAACTGTTGTTGCAAACATTTATTTTTGCATAAATGTTCCTGCTGTGTATTTATTTTTTAACCATAAATGAAGAGATTAAAAAACAAATATATGTCACAAAATACAATATATGTGGTCAGTAGGAGTGGCTGTTTTCTTAAAATAGTAAGTTGTGTGTTGTTTTAGGATAGCATTTAATTACATCAGTTATTTTTCTTTCTGACTTATGTACCTCTTTTACCGTAGAAAATATCAAAATTACCACAGATGCAGCTTCTCAATCTTTTTGAAAGAGAAAAGGAATCAAATTTTAAGTAATTATTCTTTCCCAAGTTGGCCATTATGTGATCCTAATATTCTATTATATTAGCTTTTAAAATGCTATATAGTACTAAGATGATTTATAAAGCAAGTGGGTAATCTAGGGAAAGTGTCAGTACTGCTATTGTCATTAAATGAGATTCATGAGCTTTGTTTGCTGCTTTGGTTGTACTTAAAAGAACTGTCAGTAGAATGAAAGCTTTTGTCAACATAATTCAATTACATATATACGAAAGCAGATCTTTCCTGGGTAAAGAATCACAACTTTTAAATGTATATTCACCACCAATTTAAAAGTTGTAATGTAATTTCCGTAGCTACCTTAATCCTAAACCAAAATGTTTCACTGGTGTTTTTCCCAAAATTGCTTTTCTTTCATATTTCTCAGGCTGGATTGTCTGATTTTTAAGGTTGCTGTCAAGTACCAACACCCTGTTGTGATGGTGTTGTAATAGTTTAAATTCACTTTAACATCATGTGTGTCCAGGTTTCTTGAGGATGTACGTGCTCTCTCTTGAGCTCTTTTGGTGTGGTCGTGGCGCGTGACGCCAAAAGATTGCAAAATGAAGAAATGATGATGATGTAGGGTAGTTTCTCAGAAATCTTGCGTGTGGAAGCAGAAGTTCAAAGCGTTTTCTGTTGGAAAAGCCTGACATTGCTGAAGCAGTAGAGTCGCTACAATAAAACATTTTCATCTCTAGATTTTGCACACTTTCCGTTTTTACCTATGATGATGAGATACTTGTGAATTTAGTCCTTTGATCCATGTTTAAGTTTCTGGACAAAGTACCTCAGGATGGCATTTAAAGTTTTTGTTTTTTTTGAAAATAAGGTTTCTTCTCACCTTCAGCAAATTGGAAATACATGTAGAAACTTTGCAGTGTCATGCATTACATTTCAGGGCAAGTCTTAGTTGCTTTAGTCACTGGAGTGCGAGGTGATAGTGTTTTGGATGGTGTTCCTCAGGGCTTGGCTCAAACAAGGGACTGCCTGTCAGGCGACTGCCAGGGGGAAGTGGGGAAAAGTGTCCCAGCTCTGTGGTTCAGGGATGTGCTGTTATTGAGCAGTTGAAATCTCTGCTTGCCATGGAGGAAAAGGCATTGTCTGAAGTGAAACATTGGCATCCTTTGTTTAAAGGTTGTGGAAGTCCTTCAGAAAGTATCATATTCATGCACAGTGAATTGTTTATGTGTTCATGTACAATCGGTAGCAGTACTAACCTCCCTCGGTGCACTACAGCATATTATTTGCATTTTAAATATAGCCTTTAAATGATTCTGAGATGCCTGTGACTTTTCTCATGGAGTGATTTGGAGATGAGCAGCGATCACACATGTCATTTTTGAGCAGCTGTTGAAGAAGCAGAACGTGATTATGCCACTTGGTTTATGTATTACATCTGGTTGCTGGAGAATTTCAAAAATTCACTGATATTTGGAAAGGAAAATCTCTCTCATTCGGGGGCAGTCAAAAACTCTATTTTAAACTATGAATTTTGGCCACTCAGGGATGACACTTACTTGAGCCACCTGTTGAGGGGCACGGTGAGAGAGAAAGGGTTCGTATAAGATGCTCTTTGCAGGCCTTGATAACCCCAGTGGTGTGTATTCACGCAGGCCTGCAGGGGTGTTGATGGGGAATCATCTTATTTTCACGTTTGATCATCCCCATGACCCACGTGTAGGAGGAGCTGGGAGCATTTTTCTGTGAAACAGACCCTTAATCAGGAAAGGCCCCGGAAGATTTTCTTCTTTTCATTTGTCTTCCTTTGGGAAATTCTTCCTGTTAGTCCTCCTTCATCAGGATCCTGCCCACCCCATTCATGGTATTTTTTGGTTTCATTGTGCACGGTGAGGTTTTCATTATGAGCCATTTTGTGTGGTCATTTCAGCACTTTCAATTTCCTCTAAAGATACCGACATCTTTGCCCAAGGCCTCATTGCTGTAGGAGCTCAGTAGAAGGTTTCCTTGGAGTACATGTGTGTCCAGTAATCTCTGAACTACTGCTTCCGGTTTTGACAGCACTAAAAGCTTTGTAAGAAGAAACCCCCACAACTGGATGCTTTCATAGGAATGTCATTGGAAGGACCCAGTAGTAAACGGTACTGATTTGGGAGTTGATTTCTCAGGTTTTAAAATGTATGTGCTATTAAACCTCGTGAATTGCTTATAGTACTTCTGTCCCTTACTTTCATCTTTTATGTTGACCTAAAATGTTTAGCATAATGAACCACTCACAGTGTAGCTGTTGAGAAATGGAGAGTGATTTTGTTTTGGCTCTGATTATTCAAGTGATTTCCCTCAAAGCAGGAGTGCTATTGTATTCTCCTGTTTCCTTGATGTGGGATACTTGGCAGTTCCCGCTCAACCCTGCAGTGACCCCAGTGAATTAATGCCACATTTAAAGTAACATTCATTTCTTCCACACTCCAGGTCACTTCAGGTGGAACATTTATTGGCATTGGACGGAAGACACCAGATTGCCAGGGAAACACCAAGTATTTCCGCTGTAAATTCTGCAATTTCACTTATATGGGCAACTCATCCACTGAGTTAGAACAGCATTTTCTTCAGACTCACCCGAACAAAATCAAAGCTTCTCTACCCTCCTCCGAGGGCACCAAACCTTCAGAGAAAAACTCTAACAAACCCATGCCTGCGCTTCGACCCGGCGATTCTGCAGACTTGGGGAAGTGGCAGGACAAGGTCACTGTCAAGGCGGGAGACGACACTCCTGTTGGCTACTCAGTGCCCATCAAGCCGCTCGACTCCTCAAGACAGAGCAGTACAGAGGCCACCAGTTACTACTGGTGTAAATTTTGTAGTTTCAGCTGTGAGTCCTCGAGCTCACTTAAACTGCTAGAACATTATGGCAAGCAGCACGGAGCAGTGCAGGCAGGTGGCCTTAACCCGGAACTGAACGATAAGCTTCCCAGGGGCTCTGTCATTAACCAGACCGATCTAGCCAAAAATGCAGAAGGAGAGCCGATGACCAAGGAAAACAAGGGCCTGGGCGGGACTAAAAAGAAGGACTTCTCCGCCAAGGGAGCGGAGGATAACATGGTCACAAGCTACAACTGTCAGTTCTGCGAATTTAGGTATTCCAAGAGCCACGGCCAGGAAGTCATTGTGGTGGGGCCGCTCCTGCGTCACTATCAGCAGCTCCACCACATCCACAAGTGCACCATTAAGCACTGTCCGTTCTGCCCCAGAGGGCTTTGCAGCCCCGAAAAGCACCTTGGAGAAATTACTTACCCGTTTGCTTGCAGAAAAAGTAATTGTTCCCACTGTGCGCTCTTGCTGTTGCACTTGTCTCCCGGGGCCGCCGGAAGCTCGAGAGTCAAGCATCAGTGCCACCAGTGTGCATTCTCCACCCCTGACGTAGATGTGCTCCTCTTTCACTACGAGACAGTGCATGAGTCCCAAGCGTCGGAGGTCAAACAGGAAGCAAATCATCTGCAAGGACCGGATGGGCCGCAGGCTGTCAAGGACAGCAAAGAACACTCATGCACCAAATGTGATTTTATTACCCAGGTGGAAGAAGAGATTTCCAGACACTACAGGTGAGTTGTGGGAAGCGGGAACCAAGGAAAGAATGGGGAGGTTACAGGCCAGGTTCACATAAAGAGATCATAGAATTCCAGGTAAAATATTAATATATGTGAAAGCCTCAGATTTTAATTTGGACACTTATGGTGACATTGTATAGAGCTGTTTTCTACCTTTTGCCACGTGCATTTTAAAATTCCCAGCGGTGCTGATAATGGTGACCCTTGCTGGTTTACTGTAACCTGTTTATTTGCCCTTGCTAAATAGGACTCCACATCCTGAGATTTTGATGGAGTTGCTCCCAAACTGGAGGTGGTGTTATATTTTATTCTCCATCCTAACTGAGAAACAGTCACTTGAGAACCTGTTGCTCATTTATTTCTCTTCTCACTTTGAAAAATTGTGCATTCTTGATTACTTGGCAAACAATCAGTAATCCAAAGGTGAGCATTCCACCCCATGTGAGATACTTGATGTGTAGTCAAGTAAAACTTAACTAACTTCAAATTCATGGAGGTGAGATACATTCGTATCTTCCTTTTTCTTTGACTGTTTTCTTTATAAGCAGTTTTCTCAATCACTCTTTCATACTTTCTAGTGATGAGTTTAGGCTATCTGTGCTAATTTCACATGTGTATTTATTCCTTAACCGAGTTCAAAAATATACATTGTGTCAGGCATTGACTGTAGAGGAATAAACAATGCAGGCAGTGTCATTTCCTATTTGGAGTTGAATTCAGTAGGGAAGATGGGGTACGTCCAGGATCAGAGTGAGACTTTGTATTGAACATAATGGCAGTGTAGTTTAATATGGTGGACTAGGCAGGTCTTCTGGGAGTAAGAAGACTGCAAGCTGAGACTTGGGTATAAGTGGGAATATTGTAGCAAAGCCCTGGGGATACAGGGTGTTCAGATATTAGTGCCTATTGGGTGCTTTCTTGTTAGTATGCCTCTAGGTACCAAAGGAGAATACTTCATTTACTATTTTGAAGTGATTTTTCATATGAAGGTTCAATATTCAAGTCTAAAAACCTTGTTATTTCCATTTTTACTCCCCAAGATTTTAAACAGCTCCTTCTTTTCCTTTCAGAAGCTGCATTTCAGTGCCAGTGTGTGTATGTAGTTTTAGTCACAGTAATGAAGTGGTCTGTGTCCAACAATAGGCTAATAATGTTAGATGTTAATTTGAAGGGCATCCTAATGTTCACAGTGAATCAAAATGTTCAGAAACACTTACTTGAGATTTACACTGTTTAATTTATAAGGTCAGCCCTAGGAAAGACACAGTTCTGCAGTCAAATATGTGTTCACACTTGCAGTGAGTGTTTCTGGCTTCTCTGATGTTAGCTGCATGTGAATTTATTTCTGGGGCTAGCAGAACTCAGCTTCTTTCTGAGCTTTAATAGCCCAGATGTGTGAGTATCGGTGAGTATGTGCATGGTTTGCTTGTACGTTTGCTCAGTGATATGAAAATCAGATAATGCATTCATTTTTTTTTTAAGGGGGCAGCTTTGTTGAAGACATCTTCATGATTTTCTGTAAGCATGAGGAAATCACCCCTTTCCATTTGGACATGTCTAGTTACCAGATTTGTACAAGAAGTTTTTCTCCAGGTAGCTCTTATCATTGCTTTAAATCCTGTGTGAGACAGGAGTTTCCATATTTTTTAGATAAAGAAAATAATCTCTCAAGAAATGAAAGTATGAATAAAAGTGCTACTTAATAATGTCAGGCTGTAGTTGATATTAAGTAATGAAAGTGAGCTCTGAGGGAAGGAGCTATTCTTGCTCCCTGCTGTATCTGCACAGCTTCACACAATGCCAAGATATCTAATAGCTGCTCAGTGAATGACTTTATGTAAATGAAATCCTATGGGCATTTGACTTCACACTAGTTATGAAGAAGCTGAGATCTTTAAGGTGAGTTGTATTTTAATCTGTTAATATTTTGTGCTCTCAGACCCTTTTTGAGGAGCTGGGGGTGTACACATTGAAGGACAATTGACTGTTCCTTGAGAAACAGTAGTTAAACTTTCAGCATTTTATTAACTAAAAAAATTAAACAATACTTGTCCTTTCAGTACTAGAATACAATTACATTTATTTTTAAATCCTGATGTAGTTTTGCTGAATCCATAAGATGCTGAGTAGCTTATTTCTGATCTGTGAGTTCGTATAGAAATATTTAAAATTTGGAGTCTTACAGTTGAGGAGTAGGAAGAAACTTTGCTGAAAGTTGAACAGCTGGTACCCCAGGGGTGTGAAGGGAAATAGTCACATGGATGTGCAAAACTTGTTCTGCTATCAAAGCACTGTGCCCAAATGCCACATTTGGAAGATAAAGAGGACACATTTACCATAACATTTAATAATACCATTCCACTTAAATTTATGGTCTTTCCTATTCGTGTTGCAAAACTTTTACCCATAATTCTATATTAATGTTATGGACTATTTTATGCTTTTGTGTGCTATGTATAGGACAAGTCCAGCTCTACACAATATGTGAAATTGTTTAGTCCTAAAATAGCTGCAGTGAAGAAGCTGGAGACTTGATGTGGACCTCTCTGTGGGCTCCGTTGCATGCAGATTTTCTGTAAGAATTAGCTTTAACCTGGGTTGAACTGGAACCATCATCTAGTCTGTAACCACATTTAGTCAATTCTTTTTTGTTAATGTTTTATATTTACTTATAATGCTCCCAACTCACCTTATGACTGAATTACTATATTCCACTCATAAATCTTTTTCTCTCATTGAATTTCTATTATTACTTATCATTGAATTCAGTGTTGTACCCATTCTCTATTGACTACCATTCTCATCACAAACATTAGTGTTATAACTTATGTTTTTGGTACAAGAAGACTAGTTCCTTAAAACCAATTGTACTAGATAAAGCATACTTTGTAATACATTGCCAGACTTCCACAATTAAGGAGAATTTCTGAAGCTTTTGTTGTTCCCTTCATGAAGAGTGAGATGAACCCAGAGGAAGGGGAGGTAAACAGTAAGCATGGGGTGGGAGGTACCAGAAAGGAAGATGCCAGTGTTGGTGCTTCAGTTTGCCAAGAGAGTAGGCCTGGAGTTACCTGCAGGGACAGAGAAGGGGTCTGTGAGCTTCACTGCCAGCTGGCATCTTGGAGAAGGTCTTTCCATATTGGGTGCCTCCCTCTATCTTCTGGCAGAAATAAATATAATTTATCTGTAAAAAAGTAATCAAATTTTTACCTATGAGTTAGTGGAGGATTAAAACAATCTTACATGAGCTCACTTTTTAAAAAATGTGAGAAATATGGACAGAGTCACATGTGACATTAGCACAAAGCAGAAATAATGTACTTAGGGACCCAGGTGGTTTAGGTACAGGAGTTTGCAGTTATGAGATATTAAATACTAAGTGTTTAAAGAAGTGAAATTTATTATTACAAAACTGATGAAGCAAAGTAACCTATTACCAGAGAGAACCAAAAAAGAAACAAATAGTATTTTTAATTGAAAAATATAATTGTTGAAACTTATAATATGTAGATAAGTTAAATGAGGGATTTAAAAAATGATAGAAAGCAAAAGAATTAAGTAGAATGAGACATTAGATGGGATATTTAAGGAAAGGTAAAGAGATAGAAAATATCAAAGGCAGAGAATAAGATATGGAAATATAATGACCTCGTCTTACGTATATATATATAGTCAGAGTTTCAGAAGAAAATATACATAATTGAGGATAGACAGTCAGTATTTGAGGAGAGAATAGCATAAGTTTTTTTAAAGACTCGACAAAAGAAATAAATACATAGATAGAAGAAAGAAGTACAGCATACATAAGCCAGGATATATAGAATACAATCAACTATAAATGCATTATTATAGAAGTTAAAAGCCAAGGCAAAGAAGTCTTTAAGAGCAACTAGAGAAAAACAATAAATCAACTACTCAGAAAAGACAATTAAATTAACAGACTTTTTGTGAGCAAAGTTGGAAACTGGAAGAAGGAGGCATATTGAATGCTTTTGAGGAAAAAAAAATAACCAAAGCACACACACAAGAAACAGCCCCAGTATTACTTACCCATCCAGACTACCTCTGGAGAATGACAGTTAGAGCTTCTAGGTGAGTAAAGACCTGGGAAACATCTGCATAAATTAAGTGTAGGCTCCTTCACTGATACAGCTCAACAAGAGAAAGGCTGAAGCAGGGCTGTGACCTAAGTTTGGAGTGGAAATGACCAGATTTACTGTGTTCTCAGCTGCTTCAGCCGTTAGAAGGTGGTGAGTTAGGGTTTTCTTATGCTTATTTGGAAAAATTTCAGAATAGCTAATGAAAAATAGGAAAGAGCTATGTAACTCTTAACAGCTACAGAGTAGAAAACATGGAAAAACAAAGAAAAGAACATTCATAAAATGCAGAGAGAGGATAAAAGAGAAAAGTTTAACAAATACTACTTCAAGAGTTAAATGATTAAAAAGCCCAAATACCCAAAATCCTAAACACTGTAGATTCAGTTTTCCATTTTAAAGATAGTTTTAGACTATATTAGAAAAGCAAATTCAATTACATGCTGTTTACAGGATACACACCTAAAAACACAGGTCTCTAGAGGAAGAATAGATTGAGTTCTACCAGAAAATAGGAACCAAAGGAAAATTGAGTCACCTGTATTAATCTCATATACCTTAGAGTTTAAGACAAAGCAATAATGGCAAGAGGTTTAATTCATTCTATACAATAGTTCTGAAAGGATAAAATATAAATATAAAAATGCAAAGCAAAAATTTTCAGAACTACAGAGAATATATGAGAAACTACGATGCCAGTGGTAAATTTTAAGAAACTTACTAAATGTTTAGCAGAAAAACTTTTTCAAAATGTAAAAGAATTGACCAATAAATGAATTAGTATAACTTAATAAAAAATTAATGACAGGCCGGGGATTTCGCTCAGTGGTTCCTGAGTTCAATCCCTGGTACCAAAAAAAAAAAAATTAATGAAAGTATGTAAATTCTATACACAAC